ATATATATATATATATATATATATATATATATATATATTATATCAGTATTAGTTTTAGTTATTTTAGCACATTAAGTTAAACTAAATAAAACAAAAAATATTGAATATTTCATACAGCTAATGTTTATTTTATTTCAAGTAACTAAACGTTTTTTTAGTTAACTATAATAACCTGATACAGTCCATAAAATATGTTTAACAGTCACAGGAGTTTGACAAAGAAGGCATAATGATGGTTCTTTGCCTTTTAATAAATAACCATGTGTAAATTTTGAATGATCTAAACGGCACCTAGCAAAAACAGCTTGATAAATGTGTGTTGGATACGCGTTGGTGTGTGTGACCTGGTCCATCTCGTCCTGCGATGTCTTCAGCAGTTTGAGGATGCTGTCCAGCTTGGCTTTCCCAGCATGCAGACTCTCCTCCAAACGCTGCTCCTCTTGTTCCAGACAGTACAGGTCCGTCTTCGTTCTGCTCACCTCCTTCTCCTGCATCTGTACGTCTGACTCCTGAGACAAGATCTGCGTCTGCAGCGATGTGATCTACACACAGAATCAAACGCTGTGAATGATTCAGTCAATAATATACAACGATAATCATTCTTCTTTTAGATAGACAGACATTTGATTTTCAGCATGAAGTCATTCAAACCAAATTTCCTTCATAATTTAAGGGTTATTACAGGTTCGATAAAATTTGCATCGGAGATTTACATTACTGTAATCTAAACTGTTATCTAAAAGTTAGAGATCACTTAATAAAGACACTTAATAAATGACTTAGAATGCATTTGCAAAAACAAACAGGAAACATGTTTCCAGTAAATACTAGGGGTGCTCCGATTGATCGGCTACCGATCATTATCGGCCGATAATCACGTTGGGATGATTGCTCGGTGCTCTCTAAAATGCCAATCTCAAAAAAACGATCTCAAGCTGATGACGCTGCCATGAGAGTTTTGGCACGACATGCAGCGGCACCGTCTCAGTCTCTTTCTGGCACGGGTGAAATCATTATAATGCTGAAGGTGAGGTACTCACCTTCATATTTCTTCATTAAATAACTTATAAAATAATTTGAAAACATTGTGAGAGACGTAATTTCACAAACAGCGGGAGTGAATCACTGTGCGCACTCTCTCTCTTTCTCTCTCAAAATACACAAATGTCTTCAAATCATCACATCGCGTCTGTCTATAAGCGAGCTGCACGCTGCACAGTTGACACAGGAATTGTCACTTGCACAGTCGAGGCAGTGTCACATCGTCACTTAAGTTTATAAATTGCATTACTTTTTAATTCTTGCCAGTGTTTAACCATTCGGCGAACACGCGCTCTCCTGGAGACCGTGCGCTCATGCACACTCGCACTCGCAGCACACACACATAATGCCAGGTTCACATTACTCCGTTTGCAGTGTGTTATGTGGTGCGTATTTTTTCCGCGCTCATGTTAACGGATTAATAAAGCACGCACACTGCACACCGTTGCTGTCTGGCAGTGTGTTCCAGGAGCAGGTGCTGTCTGCAGCAGTGCAGAGATCGTTTCCAGACCGAGTCTATTGCTGCGCTGGAAGCCCTGAATTAAAGTAACAGCGCATTTTTGCAGTAAATATGAACATGGATTGACACGAAAATGTAGTAATTACACCATAAATGCATATTATTAAAGTCTACTGTGTTTCACAGTCAACACATATGGCTTTTTGACTAGGTTTAAAGGGAAAGAGCACTTTTAGATAAACAAGGCAATAATATATGGCAGGTAGGTAAACAAAGTTCTTCATGAACCGCAGGATTGCATTTAATAAAGATTTAAATGCAAAAGGAAAGGCAGTAGAGCTGACTATTTCTGTCAATGGTAAGTTTGTGATAACGTAAGAAAAGTAGCTTAAATGTTTTGCCACTTGCTTGAGCAACTTAATATATAAATCTAAAGTAAATGCAAAAGTAAAAAGCATTGAATAATGTGTTGCTTATGTTTATTGTTTAAACATGTCTTTGAAAGATTGTATTACTGTACTGTGTAAAAAAAAGAATTGCAATGCTGAAAAAGCAATTTCAGTGACAATGTTTGGATTTGAAATCAAAATAATGGATAAATGTTTTGTCTGTGGTAAACAGCCACGGATCAGTTGCAGACTCCTGTGTGAAAGCTTCTTCTAGTCACCTAAGAGGGGAATTCCCCCCATCAGTCGCAGTTCTGGCGCCTCTGTCTCAATATACTGTACAACGCCACATACATTCACATCAAATGTTAATTCATCGGTAGAGTTACACTCACAGAACACTGCACTTATTTGCATTCAAAAAAGTACATTATATGCATGTGCTTTAAAGCCTTGTCGGTTAAACTTTTCATTCGCGTGCTGTTCTGACACGTGCTTTTTCTGAGCGTGTACTCTAAATAATTCTGAGCGCACACATTAAAAATCCTGTCAAAGTGCGCCTGATTACTGGACTAAGTTATCTTTCGCGTCTGATTGTGCTAATACTGTCAAAAACACACAAGGTTTACATATAAACACAGTAATCAAAGTAAACAGTTGAGAGAAGAACGGATGCGTGCCTGAATATTAGATGCGTGCAGGTCTTAAAGTGACAGCAGCCCAAAAGTACTAAACATGCTGCCGCTTGTCATTAAAGGGATAGTTTACCCAAAAAATTCAATTCTGTCATTATTTACTCACTCTCATGTTGTCCCAAACCTGTATTTAATTTCTTTCTTGTGCTGAACACAAAAGAAGATATTTTGAAGAATGTGGGTAAACAAAGAGTTGCTGGTCCCCACTGACTTTGATAGTAGGGGAAAAAAATACTCACTGTAGTCACTGGGGACCAGCAACTGTTCGGTTTCCCACATTCTTCAAAATATCTTCTTTTGTGTTCAGCACAAGAAAGAAACTCATTCAGGTTTAAAACAACTTGAGTTATTATATATTTTGTTACCTTGTAAGGATTTGTTTTTAAAATAGGGAAATTAGTTTGGCTGTACTGCTCAGACAACTTGCAAAATAGTAAAACCAACACGACAAAGAATCGTGTTAAAATTGTGAATCGTGATTTTCCTGAAAAAATTTTTTATATATATATATATATATATATATATATATATATATAATTTATATATATGTACATATATACATATATATATATTATATTTTTGCCATATCGCCCTACCCTATTATTGGTGTAAGGAAATATAATTTCACAGAGAGCATTTACAGTACAAAGACAGATTTTTAGCCAACAAAATATTTTATAGTTTCCATGATTAAACTTCCATGTTTTTTTGAGGCCTGGAAATCGTAATTTAAAAATTCCAGGTTCTCCATGACCATTGGGAGGCCTGTATAATAGAAACAGTGTTAATACGTAATTTGACTTTAGTCACAGTTTTTGTCTTTTGACAAATATAGTTAATACTTCATTATATTTTGAAAAATGTACAATTTAAAATATTTTGTCTAAAATGGCCCATCATATATATATATATATATATATATATATATATATATATATATATATATACACACACACACACATATATATAAACAAAAACTAAAATATCCCATCATATATATATATATATATATATATATATATATATATATATACACACACACACACACACACACACATATAAACTTAAAAACCTTGGCAATTAACTGACTTAATAGAAGTACTAAAATTACTAAAACTAAAACTGAAATAAAATCAAAGCTAAGGAGAAATCTACAAAAACTAATTTAAAAAAAAAGACAAAAGAGCAGAAAAACTTAAGTGAAAATGAGACATTTTGCCTTGGCAAGCAACTAAACTAAAATAAGTTTAAGTTAAAATACCAAATTTACTAAAACTGAAATAAAAATAAGAGCAGAAATAAACAAAAAAAACTCAATATTAGATGAAAAACCAAGTAAAAATGAAAAAATTTTGCTTTGGCAACTAAGTGAACTCACTGTACTCACTCTAAGTGAAGTTCTAAAGTTACTAAAACTAAATACAAAATATATATATATATACACACACACACACATATATATAAACTTAAAAACCTTGGCAATTAACTGACTTAATAGAAATACTAAAATTACTAAAACTAAAACTGAAATAAAATCAAAGCTAAGGAGAAATCTACAAAAACTAATTAAAAAAAAAAAGACAAAAGAGCAGAAAAACTTAAGTGAAAATGAGACATTTTGCCTTGGCAAGCAACTAAACTAAAATAAGTTTAAGTTAAAATACCAAATTTACTAAAACTGAAATAAAAATAAGAGCAGAAATAAACAAAAAAAACTCAATATTAGATGAAAAAACAAGTAAAAATGAAAAATTTTTGCTTTGGCAACTAAGTGAACTCACTGTACTCACTCTAAGTGAAGTTCTAAAGTTACTAAAACTAAATACAAAAATGATCAATGCTACAAACAAACGATTTTAATACAGCTAAATTCTTTCCTGTCTTCAATGCAAACTCAAATCAAGTGTGTCTCACTTTCACGTTCTCCTCCTGCCACTTGCTCTTGGTCTCATCCAGTGTGCTCTCCAGTTTGGCTCTCTGCTGCTCCATCTCACCGAGTCGCTCCTGAGCATCCCATTTCTGGTGCTCCAATTCCTGAAGGCCCACGTTTTCATGCTCCAGGTCTCTCTGCACCTCCTGCACACAATCAGTATTTCAATTAAGTAAATTTGGACATTTAAAGACACTTTTACAGAGTCTCGAGCCTCCTTTTTACTTTAAATGCATGGAAAAGAGCAGCATGAACATTTCATGTTGTGCATCTCATGCTTCATGCTCTCTTTCTTCTCACATATTTTAATAAACTCAAATCGGTGCTTCATTTCCATGTACTTGTTTGGCTCTATAACAAGTGGGACAAAGTACAGAGCCGCCTCACCTGCACTTCACTGTTCCTCTGTCGCAGGGCTTCCTCTTTCTGCCTGATTTCTGTCTCCAATATGCGTTTCTCACTATGCACCAAAAATCAGATCAATCAAAAATGTAAAATGAGTAAAAAGCAAAAAGAGCAAAATAAGTAACTAGTTTTAAAGACACTTTTACAGAGTCTCGAGCCTCCTTTTTACTTTAAATGCATGGAAAAGAGCAGCATGAACATTTCATCTCATGCTTCATGCTCTCTTTCTTCTCACATAATTTAATAAACTCAAATCGGTGCTTCATTTCCATGTACTTGTTTGGCTCTATAACAAGTGGGACAAAGTACAGAGCCGCCTCACCTGCACTTCACTGTTCCTCTGTCGCAGGGCTTCCTCTTTCTGCCTGATTTCTGTCTCCAATATGCGTTTCTCACTATGCACCAAAAATCAGATCAATCAAAAATGTAAAATGAGTAAAAAGCAAAAAGAGCAAAATAAGTAACTAGAGAAATGCCAGATGGAAGGTTATGTGTAGCGTATAATTCTCCATCCATAAACTCTCTGACCTCTGCAGCTGGGAGATTTCCTGGTTGATGTCATCAAGATCCTTGATTCCCATCGCCTCAACCAACCCAACAGAACTGCTGCTGTCCTGGAAAAATAATGTTATGTAAGAGACAGTCATACTCTGTCATCTACGTACAGTAGAGGTATATAATTATGCCGTACACAGAGATGAGCACTAGGTGGCTTCTCATCGCCTGAACATAAAGACACAGACTTCAGGCAACATAATATCAAAACGGACTATTTACATTCTTACATTCCTATTGTAAATCATTTTTAAAGAGAATAAATATTTATTAATCTTCAGAAACTACAAATAAGGACAGAAACAAAGCAAAAACGCACCTGATACACATTCTTTATTTATCATTTCATTGATGTAGAGTTTAAAAATATTGTGAATTTTATGCAGAAATGGTGTATGCAGAAATTATTCTGAGCAGTTATTTTAGTATTTTTTATAAATTATTATAGTTTTTAATAATATTTTGAATTAGACAATTTATTTACATTTTAATTTATTTTTATACTTTCAGTTTTCATTTCAGCTCTTTTTTTTCATTTTTAGTAATTTTGTTTTGTGCTTGTCATTTACATGAACATTATTATTATTTTTTTTAATATTACTATTTATGTTTAATCCATTTTTATTTGAATTTTAGTTTTCATTATATTTCCAGTTAGTAATTTTGGTGCTTGAACTAAACTAAAATTAGAGTTGTTGATCTAAACTGAAATTACGTTTTCATCTAATGCTTTCTCATCGCCTGAACATAAAGAGACAGACTTCAGGCAAAATAAAATCAAAACTTCTTACATTCTCACTGTAAATTATTTTTTAAGAAAATAAATATTCGTTTTCATAATTTTTCATTAAAATGTATTAATTTTCTCCTTGTATCCATTTTATTTTCAAGGTTTCTATATATTTTCCATTTCAAACTTCTATACTTTTCTAGAGTGCTTGAAGAAAAAAATGCAACACTCACACTCAAAAATAAGCTTCATTAGCTAAATGTTTTGAAACTTTTTACTTGTCTTTAAACTTTGTTGTTTAAAAAGTTTATTTTTATAGATATGAGTGTTATACCTTTACTTCAAACAAGACGAACCTTTGATTTTTGGTTGCACCTCCTCTTCAGTTGGTTAAGCAGCCTTTCATTAACTTTTATTGTGGACTTTTCTAGACTCCTATTTTCAGACTTCTCTGTTAATTTTTCAGACCAAACCGTATGTAACACCTGATAAGTGGTTTTAAAAACCAACTGTTAACATGTATGTTACATTCTGACTATGTATGTTAATATGTTGCCACATAATTGCCGGAATATTGTAGCTAGGTATTGTAGTATTACAAGTTTTAAAAAATAAGGTTGTCACTGATTGCATTTATTTAGAAAATCTTATTTCCACTCAATGCAGCGCAGGACACACGTCACAGATGTATCAGAACCACTTACTCTGCTCAGAATGGTCAACGGGGTCAATTCAGACACGACTGATGGTGTAAATCCAGAGAGAATCTGGAGAAGAAAAAACAGAGAACGGCAGACTGACAAATCAGAGACATCAGACATGTTCATGTGCGTTCGACTATAAATACGATCGAAATGCGTGACATGCGTGACATGACTTCTTGTCACACATTACAAGCCTTCACTATAGTAATACCAGTAAATTAAGCATCATTACATGCGATTAACTCTAAACTAAACCCTAATCCTAAACTTAAGTACATGTTTATTGCTATTACTGCATAATTACACTGTAACAAGAATACCTTAAAATAAAGATTAATAAACACTGTAACTCTAGTTGGTAACCAAACAGTTAACGGTAGCCATTGACTTCCATATTATGAAAAAAATATATAATAATCTATGGGAGTCAATATTCTTCAAAATATCTTCTTTTGTGTTCAACTGAACAAAGAAACTCCTACAGGTTTGGGACAACTTGAGGGTGAGCAAATGATGACAGAATTTAAATTTTAGGGTGAACTATCCTATTAGGGCTGCTCGAATATGGCAAAAATCATAATCACGATTATATTGGTCAATATTGTAATCGCGATTATTTAACACGATTATGACCAAAAGTTTATATGAGTGATTTATTTAAAGACAGCAATATATATCAAATATATATTTTATTTAAATAAGGTTGCTATGACATCTACATTTTAGAGACCAGCAAAATTTCTGATTTTACTGATTTGCACGTGAAATTGGGCTTTTATGGAGGAATGAAGGCGCACCGCTGGAAAGGGGGCGGAATAGGGCACATTAATAATTGTATTTTCTTGATTATTGTGTTTTCATAATCACTGGAGGCCGAAATCAAAATCAAAACTGTATTTCGATTAATTGCACAGCTCTATATCCTATTAAAAAATAACGGGACCATATTGTAAAGAGTTACCAAAACATTATCATAAATGAGGAGTCCTTAAGGCTAAAGGGAGCCTGCTTTTGATCGTGACAGGATGCATGAAATGCATGTGTGCATGCATGCTGTCTTCTCACCGGTGTGCCGGCGGCTCCTCTCTCTGACGGTGGTATCATGTCAGGGGTCAGACTCTGAGGAAGATCCACTCCTTTCACTTTCTCCTGAATCAGGTGCATCGCCAGACAGAACTGCTCCTTGGTGAGTTTGCCGGTATGCTGAGTGTCTGCCAGCGACCTGCAGACCAAAACAACAGAAAACAATGCTTCTATGAGCACGAGTGTGAAAGAAAAATTATGTGTAACATAATCATAAATCCTACTGTCTTGCAAATTCAAGGATAGTTTTAAAAAGGCTGTGGGTGACTTTAGGAATAAGATTGCATTTTACTCTTTAATCCAAACTTGACTGCCTCACCATATGTGTGCCAGGACGCTCTGAGGCAGCCGAGAGTTCATGAAGATATCCTTCACTTCACCTCCTCCAACCATCCTATCAAAATCAGAGTCTGCCAGATCAAAGATCTCCTCGTACTGCTCTCGGTCTTCCACCGGCACCACCCAGAGATCAGAGGACGGCTGCTAAGACAAATATTGGGAATGTCTGGAATAGCATACAACTCATATGTGCATACTATGTGAATTTTCTATATGCATCAGTCAAATTTTGCAGAGCACACGGAGATACTTTTTCCCACAATGTCGGAAAGATCGCATTTATGCACATAACCACATGTAAGCCATGAGTTGGGGGCGTGTCAGTGAAAAAACATGTCGGATGCAATGGATGCAGCATCTGTATTGAGGGTAAATTTGCTATAATTAATCAAATTGTTTGTTTTTTATTTACAATAAAACTAAATCTACGTTGCATGTACAAAATAGCGTAGTATTGTACAATAGCAATAGAATATATAACAATTTAATTTACAGCACCTTCATAAATGGAATAAAAACAAAAAAACAGATGCACATTCTTCATTCATTAATTTGTTGATGTAGTTTAAAAATCTTGCTGAATTTTATGCAAAAACGGCACATGCAGAAATCATTCTGAGCAGTGTAATTTTAGTATTATTTATATATTACATTATCTTTTTATTAATATTTTTAATTAGATTGTTTTTATACTTTCAGTTTTCATTTTTATTTTACTTACATTTTTAGTAATTAGTGCTTTTTTTTATTATTATTTTTTATTAATTAATATATAGGTTTAATTAATTTTTATATTAAATTTAAGTTTCAGTTCGTTTCCAGTTAGTAATTTTGGTGCTTGAAGTTAAACTAAACTAAAACTAGAAAAGTTTTTCATCTAATATTTACAGTATATTTGATTTTAGCTTTATTTTTAGTTTTTTGATAATTACTCTGATATTTAGTATTATAATTACTCTGGATGCAACATCACTCATTACAATAAATATGCAAAATAGCTACACCATGTGACATCAATGAAGTTTGCATGCTACTTCACATACTATTAATTTAATAGTAAATAAAGTACACTAATATTCCTTTCAGAATGCATGCATACTTTTCCACAAATGACAAAAACTTCACAGTCCATGAACCTCAAATGGTTCAATCTCTTTTGCTATCTGGCTACTCATGAAGTTTACTATGAAAGGCATTTGAATGAGAATTTATGAGAGAATATCATGGGTTCCGTATATATGTTAGGCATTGAGTAACTAATAATGAACTGCATTACTTGGTCAAAGAACTGTAGGTTGCTTATGGTTTCCAACCAACGTAGAAAATCAAGCAAAAACACAGAAAAAATCTGTGCATTATTTTGCAGTAAACTCTGTAAACATGAAGACTAGAGCTCCAGGAGCTGATAAGAATGTGGCTGGACTGGTATTACGAGTGTTAGATCAAGACTGAACAGGTTTACATGCAGCACGACTGCTGTGGTGTTCACCTGTGTGTGTGTTTGAGGCTGCGGTGGTGTTGGGGTGGAGCGCTTGAACGAGCTTGACGGAGACAGATTTGTGCTGCTACCCAAAGAACTCTTGGAAAGCGCTGGCGTCGGCCTCAGGTTCTCCTTCAGGAGGAACGGACTAGAGGGAAGAACAGGAACTGATCCCGGAAGAGCGCCTGCGATCTTCTTCCGCTTGGATGGAGGGATGAGAGCGGTGGGGAGGGTGGATGGCACAGGCTCCTTCTCTCGGGCTGCATAAACCAGGTGCATCACCTGCAAAAAGATGTGACAGTTGACAAAATGAGTGTTGGGATTTCTCTTCCTGATTTTTCTTGTTTCCTCCTGTCACTGATGATAACATCCACAAATACTTAGACTTTAATCTATTTTGACATATACTGTATGTGACCCTGGACCACAAAACCAGACTTAAGTGTCCATTTTTCAAAATTGAGATTTATGCATCATCCGAAAGATGAATAAATAAGCTTTCTATTGATGTATGGTTTCTTATGGAATCTGAGGGTGCAAAAAATCTAAATACTGAGAAAATCGCCTTTAAATTTGTCCAAATAAAGTCCTTAGCAATGCATATTACTAATCAAAACTGAAGTTTTGCTATATTTACGGTAGGAAATTTACAAAATATCTTCATGGAACATGATCTTTACTTAATATCCTAATGATTTTTGGCATAAAAGAAAAATCTATAATTTTGACCCATACAATGTATTGTTGGCTATTGCTACAAATATACCCCAGCGACTTAAGACTGCTTTTGTGCTGCAGGGTCACATATATTACACATTGAACAGTGTCAATAACATTAAACATTAAAAGTAACAAGACCCATGATTTGAGGAATCATTCGTGGAGCATAAACGCTGCAGGACGACACACTCTGAACTTTAATACTTAGTGTTAGAGGTTTGATCACATCAACCATAAACTACTAATAATCTACTAATAAAAGCACATGCTATTTTGTTTGACTCACCACTGAAAACTCATCTTTATCCAAGTGTCCATCTTTGTCAATGTCACTGAGATCCCAAATCTACAAAACACAGAAAGAGTAAAAAAAAAAAACATTTATGTAATCATGAAGTTCATTTATGAATATACTAAAAGTCTAAACTATACTAGTATAAAGTAAGTCAAATATTAGCAACGTTTTACATATACTGTATACACTAGCATTCAAAAATGTGAGGTCAGTAAGCTTTAAGTTTAAAAAAAAAAAAAAAACCAGTCTCTTCCTCTCATCAAGGCTGCATTTATTTGACCAAAAATACAGTAAAAACAGTAATACAGTGAAATATTATTACAATTTAAAATAACAGTTTTCTATGTGAATATCTGTCAAAATGTAATTTATTCCTGTGACCAAAGCTGAAATTTCAGCATCATTACTCCAGTCTTCAGTGTCACATAATTCCTTTTATTTTTTTGGCAGACAAAGCGCTGCACAATCAAGGTTTACGGTTTAAATTAAAACATTGATAAAAAATGTGTGATATTCCTTAAAATTATATTTCAATAAATTGTATTATCATTACTTTGAGAAGTACATTATATTTTACAAAGTAAAACCGAACTGTTATTTTGACGCTCTGTAGCTTTTTAGACCAAAATCTGGCTCAGTCAGACTAATAAATGTGGTACTTTTAACTTTCCATCAAACACAATGGTGAAACTGTACAAACAAGATTTAATAATTAAATGAAGAGATGATATAAATGATATCAAGACGTCAAAGATCATAATGGGAAGTTATCTAATTGTGTAAAGGCCTATTCTGACATCAAACAATGGTATTTACCTTTTTATCCAAGTAACCTTTTCTCTCCGGGTCTGACAGATCCCAGATCTGTAAAGAGAGGCAAAACACACACAGTCATTTTCTGCCAACAGCTCCAGCGCTGCATCTCAAGGCTTTCAGATGTTCAGTGATGGGATTATTCGCTCTCACCTGTCCCAATGTGCTGTCCGAAAGCCCTGATTTCTTCAAGAACTGAGCAGCTTCTGCGGCGCCCACTTTCCCAGTGTTTCCCGGATCCACCTGCAACAAAGACGACAGGCCATCAGCGTCACTTATAACGGCAGGAACTAAAGATCAGTATCAGCTAGGGGTGTGCGATATATATCGTCTGCGATAATATCGTAATTGTTGTTTTAACGATGTGCGATTTGACATTATAGAGTAGGCTTTTTCTTTCTTTTCTTTGTTGATTTTTTTCATGTTTTAAATCATGTCAAATATCAGTGTTCAACGTTTTATGTATAATATATCAAAACATTATTTATGCATATGTAATTGCAGGTTAAATGCATTCATGTTTTGCATTAAACACAATACATGTGTGTAAATACATCTAAATGCCTCTTCAGATGCAGCTTCTTTGTTGATTTAATTTGTTCGGTAACAGCCCGAATGTCTTATTATTCTAATTCACTGATTAAATGTAAGAATTTGACTCAAAAGATAATGGACACTTTTAGAGAAAATGGCTTTATAAAGGTAAAAATGCCCATAAAATGCAAAAATCAGTTTAAACTTATTGGAAAAGATTAATTTCTATCAGTGTGAACTGACCAGCACACAGAATATGAAGTATATTAAAAACATTAGGAGTCTGCTGTCTTCGGCAGTCCTTAAGGTACCAGCACAATAACACACTCAGCAAAATATCGTCTAATTATCGTTATCGATAAAATCCCAGAAAATATCGAGATATAATTTTTTGTCAATATCGCACACCCCTAGTATCAACAATATATTGATATTATACTAGCGCATAATATCAGAGTTTACTCCATTTTAAACAGCATTGGTAATTTACCTGTCTGTAGAAGCTCTCATATGCAGGGTTTCCACTTGATAACTGCATAAATAAGAAAAGAAAATGTATTAAAACAAAAAAACGGTAAAATTCTAAATATAATGGTAACACTTTACAGTAAGGTTCCAACATGATTAATCAACAAAGAAAAATACTTCTAAAGCATATATTAATCTGCGATAATTGCAAACACTATTAAAATCAAAAGTTGTATCTGTTAACATTATTTATTGGCCTTTAGCTAACATGAACTAATAATTAACAGCTGTATCTTAATAACTAACATTAAGAAAGACTGAGAAATACTGTACCGCTGATTGTTGGTTAATGCAGTAACTTACATTCAACTAATGGGACTTCACTGTAAAGTGTTTCCAGTCAAATAAAAAACAAGTATCAGTTAAATATCAAAAATATGTCTGGGCCATAGGGAAAAAAAACTTATTTTTTTGTAGTATCATAAATATTTTTTTCATTATTTTCACAAAAGTTAAGAACATTTCCTTCCTAATGTTTTGATATTGATTTTGTTTGCAATTTGTATTATTCACACTGATGATTCAGTCATGTGATTTCACAGTAAATCCCACCATCATGTAAACTATGTATGATTATTGTTTGATTTTTTTTATTATTATTATGATTATGATTATTGTTTGATATAACAGTAACGCAGTGGGCATCGATGACGTTACAGGATGAAGACATAGTTTTTTCTAGTTAAAGACGATGCAGACAAACGGTGTGCTGACATAATACATCGGACAAGATCAGAATAATGTTTCTGAACAATATTCTGAACAATTCGGTGACAGGAATCACATAAACAACACTGATCAGCTTCGTCGTGGTGCTACACAAACAGCTGTCACGACATAAAGAGAGTCAAAAAGTTGCAAAACAGCGACCTTGAAATCGCAAATCAGTCAGAAATCAATTATTAGCCGTCATCGCAACACATAACGAGGCAAAACTTTAAAAAAAAAACCTAACAACACATAACCGCTAACAACAACAACAACCGAGAACTGCGGCCGTTTCACCGGAGAGCCCAGTCTCCGTGCGTTTACACTTTTAAACAAGACATAACAGCATTTTCTACAACCACAGAACACGAGTTAGATAAATCCTTCCAAAAAGTACTTCACGGTTTAGTTTTAATCAAACTTTTAAAGTCGTTACCTGACCGAGTGACGTGAGCGCCGCCATGTTTCCTGATTCACGAGCACGCGCACGCACAGGGGTCTGTCTCGTGAACGCGCAACGTCAAACGTGAACGAGTGAGTTACTAATTCATTAAAGATCGTATCGTTGGTAGCGCACTGCGTTATTTCACTAAATTAATTTTACTGAGTTATTTTAAGTATTCTTAAAGTCCGCATGAAATCAAAATTGACTTTATTTACTTTACTAGCGCACATTGCTAGTCTTGATGTGAACAATTATACCGTGCAAGTTAATCCGCTGAAAAAAATAGCTTGTCTTCGTAATTTGGAAATACCTGAAGTTACTGCCAACTTTATTTCAGTGTAGTGACGTATTTCCAGCTGAAACGGAATGTGGAATAGAGGGCGTGGTTTTATGTTTGTGCTCCTCCTCCTCTCTGTCTCTCACTCAGCAATCTAAGGGTTGGAGGGGTGTGTTTAAGGATATTCTGCCCAAGCCGTCAAACTGACATGATCAGAAAAAGAATGCCATTCCAGAGCGGAAGTAAATGTTCAGATTAAAGATCATTCTAATATGATGTGGCTAAAAAGAGCATTATTTTGTGTATTTGGTGTAATGAAATGTGTTTATGCGGTTTAAGGTTCAAAAAACACATTATTTTCCACATACTGTACATTATTGTTTCTCCTCTATGCCCCACCTTTCTGAAACGCGTCGATTTTTACAAAGCTCATCGGTCTGAAAAGTGAGGTGTGCTCTGATTGGCCAGCTATCCAGTGCGTTGTGATTGGCCGAATTCCTCAAGCGTAAGACGGAAATGTTACGCCCCTCACCATACTGTGATGCTTGCGGCTTAACTTGCACGGATTAATTGTTCACGTCATTACTAGCAATGTGCACTAGTAAAGTAAATAAAGTCCATTTTGATTTCATGCTTTAAGTCTTGGCCCAACTAAGTTATTCTGAAACAAATGTACGAATGTGGACAAATATTTAAACACAGTTCATAATTATTTATATTATTCATCTAAAATGCAAAATCAGATAAAAAGCATGTAAAACATAATGCAGAACAGAAAATATCTAGAAAATTATTAGTTTTAATTTCTATATTATATACAGTATGTAATAATTTTTATATATGTTTTATACATTTATATATGTAAAAAAATATATAGCCTATGTAAAACTGTTATGGGAGAATGTGTGATACATTTACTGTAGTTCACTGTAGTAAAGTCAAGAAAAGGAAAACAATCATGTATCTAAAGTTCATAGTCTAAAGAAATACAGCTTCAACGTTGCACACGTTATCATAGTTTATTTGCTATAGTTTAGAAAATGGTAATAAAATATGACAAGAACTCAGAGTTAAACTGTGTCAGAACAAATTCATCTTGATAGTGTCAGATAACACTTAAGCAAAACATGGTCAGGTCAAAGTGTCTGAATAATTTTTGGTCTCAAATTTTACTGGTAGTCCACTGTATGAAGAATTTTTGGGTATAATATGTTACAGTTTACTTTATTTTGCTATCCTCACTTACATAAACTATAGTGTCCTGCACTCAAAAATGATATCTGGTGTCTGAATCATTTTTAGTTTGACTGTACATAGTCGGTATTCTACTGTAAAATGTCTCCATCTTGTGTACCAGATTTGTAAATGTCATGACATCTAGAAAAAAATTATGTAATATAAATCAACTTTTCCATTATAGAAAACACATGTGGTGAAAATAATACAAGCAACTCCCAGAAACAACCGAAACATGCATTCGTCTCTAACTGCTTTTGAGCGGTTCAAATGATGAAAATAATTATTGAATAATGTCTGTGGAACATCTTCAGTGAGATTTACACAAATCATGCAGTCTATATACAGATATCAACCACCTGCACTGCTTTAAAGCTTCTTACAGGAGTTTGAGACTGGAAAACGTTCTTATCAGGGATCTAGTTTTTTTTTTAAGTGCAATTCATTTTTGTGGACCAGCTTTCATGTTGCAAATACAAACCTATCGACCAAACCGCAAGCAACTCCCAGAAACAACCGAAACATGCATTCGTCTCTAACTGCTTGTTTACAAGCTTTTGAGCGGTTCAAATGATGAAAATAATTATTGAATAATGTCTGTGGAACATCTTCAGTGAGATTTACACAAATCATGCAGTCTATATACAGATATCAACCACCTGCACTGCTTTAAAGCTTCTTACAGGAGTTTGAGACTGGAAAACTTTCTTATCAGGGATCTAGTTTTTTTTTTAAGTGCAATTCATTTTTGTGGACCAGCTTTCATGTTGCAAATACAAACCTATCGACCAAACCACACAAAAGTGAGCATTCCTCCAAATATTTATTCAGATGCATATGACTAAAGCTGCAGATGAAGATGATTAACAAACATTCTAGAGAAATTATGAATTTGTGAAAACGAATGGGAAATGTGTAATCATGGACAAATGTTCAGATATCTTCATCTGTTCTTTTGGTGTAATAACCAACCTGAATTGTATTAGTATAAATAAACATTATAAAGCTCTGATCATGAAACAGTGATGTGCTCAAACTCACAAAATATTACAACTGCATGTACAATAAAGTTATTTATTAAAACTTTGGCATTAATTACAACTCTCAACATGTAAAAAGGTGGTTTAATGTCACTAAACAGGATTTTCAGTACTAATCCAATTTGAACATTTGGGATTTAGTTCACAGTGTGTATTTTAATGCACCCTTGACATCTCTGCAAATATTACCACATCCCTTATCATAGCGCATTTATTTTCAAGTAACAAAAGATTTTATTAAAAAAAAAAAAATTACATCAGCTACAAACTGAACATCACAAATGCTACTGCCACTGATCATCTGAAACCTAAAACAAACTCAAACTGCAAGACATTTGTAATAAATAGAGCTGGAAAATAAAAGGAATTTGACTGAATATCTTGTTTAGGAGATTAATATAATAACCACCACAGCACATACACTGCGGTAACAGAACAAAACTAAATCATCAGTGCCAAAGGAACATTATGTCATTGTAAGTTTCTTTTGCACTACAGTACAAACATTCATCAGCCCTCATTGATGAAACACAAGCAGAATGAATTTGCATAAATCGTTGTACGTTTTCCTGCAACAATTTACACAAAAATTATTCTGTTCTGCTCATGTTTCAGAAATGAGGACTATAGTTTGAAACCCAGCCTGTGATCTGATTAATCTCTTATTAATAACAATAGGGCAAAAATCACCATCCTCCACTATTCAGTTTCGTTGCACATCACATTTCTGCAATGCGGAGAAACAACCGTGTAACCTCCCAGTAACATTCTTTACGGTATATGGAAGTCCGTTTCCACTACGGGAAAAAACCCAAATAAAAATGTAATTATGACTTTTTATGTCACAGTTCAGACTTCATTTCTCACAAAAAAAAAATATAAACCCAGTTTTCTGACTTTTTGCTTGCAATTCGGAGTCGTTTTTTTCCGCCACAGAATAAAAAAATTAAGATAAATACGACTTCTCACAATTCAGATTTTCTCTTTTATCTTGTTCATATCTCAACATTTTTACTTTATATCTCACAATTTTGCGTTTAAATCTTACAATTCTGACTTTTTCCTCAGTATTTCGAGCTTATATCTCACAATTTTGCGTTTAAATCTTACAATTCTGACTTTTTCCTCAGTATTTCGAGCTTATATCTCACAATTTTGCGTTTAAATCTTACAATTCTGACTTTTTCCTCAGTATTTCGAGCTTATATCTCACAATTTTGCGTTTAAAATTTTAATGCACCCTTGACATCTCTGCAAATATTACCACATCCCTTATCATAGCGCATTTATTTTCAAGTAACAAAAGATTTTATTAAAAAAAAAAAAATTACATCAGCTACAAACTGAACATCACAAATGCTACTGCCACTGATCATCTGAAACCTAAAACAAACTCAAACTGCAAGACATTTGTAATAAATAGAGCTGGAAAATAAAAGGAATTTGACTGAATATCTTGTTTAGGAGATTAATATAATAACCACCACAGCACATACACTGCGGTAACAGAACAAAACTAAATCATCAGTGCCAAAGGAACATTATGTCATTGTAAGTTTCTTTTGCACTACAGTACAAACATTCATCAGCCCTCATTGATGAAACACAAGCAGAATGAATTTGCATAAATCGTTGTACGTTTTCCTGCAACAATTTACACAAAAATTATTCTGTTCTGCTCATGTTTCAGAAATGAGGACTATAGTTTGAAACCCAGCCTGTGATCTGATTAATCTCTTATTAATAACAATAGGGCAAAAATCACCATCCTCCACTATTCAGTTTCGTTGCACATCACATTTCTGCAATGCGGAGAAACAACCGTGTAACCTCCCAGTAACATTCTTTACGGTATATGGAAGTCCGTTTCCACTACGGGAAAAAACCCAAATAAAAATGTAATTATGACTTTTTATGTCACAGTTCAGACTTCATTTCTCACAAAAAAAAAATATATATATATCAGAATTGTGAGATATAAACCCAGTTTTCTGACTTTTTGCTTGCAATTCGGAGTCGTTTTTTTCCGCCACAGAATAAAAAAATTAAGATAAATACGACTTCTCACAATTCAGATTTTCTCTTTTATCTTGTTCATATCTCAACATTTTTACTTTATATCTCACAATTTTGCGTTTAAATCTTACAATTCTGACTTTTTCCTCAGTATTTCGAGCTTATATCTCACAATTTTGCGTTTAAATCTTACAATTCTGACTTTTTCCTCAGTATTTCGAGCTTATATCTCACAATTTTGCGTTTAAATCTTACAATTCTGACTTTTTTCTAAGTATTATGAGTTTATATCGCACAATTCTAATTTTTTTTCCTCGGAACTCCGAGACAAAAGTCCCAATTGTGAGACATAAACTGAGAATTACATGAAGTCGTCTGAATTGGGAGCTAAAAAGTCGCGATTATCTTTTTTATTTTTGTATTCCATGGTGAAAACGGGCTTCCATAATTATATTTGTAACTCAAGTAAACTTCATGAATTTAGTCTAGTTCCTTCAAACTAACACCAACGTCATGAACTAATATGGGCATTGATTTTACCATAAGAAAGGCACAATAAACTGATCATAGATCAGCATTAAAAGATGTCAAACATATCAGACTCCTGGTACTGTACAGAAAACTCCTCAATAAAAAAAACTGGCTCGTTCAAGGTCAATGGTCACAAATTAAACGTATGGGCTGAGAACTTCTGGTCGCCCTGTGTGACATCATCGCCGTCTCTAATTAGAATGAATGCACTGCAGTCGTTTCCCTGGCAACCACGGAATGTGAACGGTAATCTACTTCCTGCGTTACAGTTCGTCTTTGGGAAGCGCATCATTGTCTTCTTCCTCCTCTGGAGGCTCGTCTGTCTCGTCCTCCTCCTCTTCCTCCTCGCCTTCATCCTCCTCCTCCTCCTCTTCCTCATCTGCTTCTGTGCTCTGCTCCTTGTTCTTCTCCTCTTCTTCTTTGCGTTTCTTCTCATCCTGTTCCTCCTTCATTTTCTTCTCGGGACCCTGCGGCAAGACAGACCATTAAAAAAGCATTTTTATTGCATATCCACTAGTTCAGCAAGATGCTCAAATCAAACTCTTACCTTTGTAGCACCCCACGTTTCATTTCCGAAATCCTCAGCTTCCTTCACGTCGTCTGTGATGAGGAAGTTGTCAAATATAGTGCCGGATTTCACCTGGAGTGATGAAACCGAAACAGAAACATGGTGGCGTTTCTCACAATGAACTGAATTTGATAGAGGGGGGAAAAGCACCTCTTAGTGGTTTAAAGTGCAAACACTGCATTAAGTGTGAGGAGAAACGTCACAAACTTTGACATGTACTGACAAACAGTCAGGTTACCAGTTCTAAATTAGATTTCCTCTTTCCAAACTTGCTATTGAGTTTACAAGCACACACCAGGGTCATTATAGCTCAAACTAAATTAGTATGAACTCAAACTAAACTAAACTAAAACCCATAAAAATATTGTTACTTGAAATAAAATATAAAAAATATTTCTCATTTTCATTTAGTTTAACTTGATGTATTAAAATGAATTAAAATTAATAAAAACTACATAGACATATAAACAAAAACTAATTCAAATACTACAAAACACACAACAAAATTATTAAAACTTTAACTAAAATGAAAAACATGAAAATAAAAAGTCATTAAAAATATGAATAAAAACTGCTTGCTTAAAAATACTAAAATAACACTGCTACGTACAGATATAACTAGGGCTGGATGATATCGATTAATAATAATACAAATTATAAAATTAATGAAAATGTCTAAATCAAATAAATAAATTAACAAATATTTTTTTAATATTTAAATAATTTACGTTTCAGTAATTTTTTGTGTTTTTATAATTTTTTTATATAGCTTATAATTACATTTATTTCACTTAACATTTATTTTATTTCAAGTAACAAATTTGAATGGTTTCAGTTAACTTTAATAACCCTGATATTTAGTAATTCCTCTGAAATGGCTTAAAGGTGTGAGAGGAACCATCATTTCAATCAAATAGCCACCGCTGCAAAATAGACTGAATGTTCAACCAAGAACTAAAATTCAATAAAAATCTAGTTAACATCAACTGCTGCCACAGTTTTCAGAAAACAGAAACTGGCCTAATAAAAAGCACATTATAATCAATATTCACAATATGCTTGTCAAAATCTCTGTGAATATATTGTTAATATTCAGTAAATCATGGACATGTATTCCTGAATTGCATTATTTTTTTAAAAATGTTAATGCTTCCTGATGTGCACTTATATAGTTAGTAGGGTTTTCATAATTATGAAATATAAGGCAATTTTATGTTAATATTGATAATAAAAATAAAATATAAATGTTGAAAATATTTCCTATATGCTAATACTTCCCAAGGTGCATTTATGTCATTAGTAGGATTTTCAAATAAAAAAAATAGAAGGCTATTTTATGTTAAATAATAAATAATTAAATAAATATTTTGAAAATATTTGCTATATGCTAATACTTCCTGACGTCCACTAATATATTTAGTAGGCTTTTCAAAATTAAAAAATAGAAGACTATTTTAGGTTAAATAATAAATAAATAAATAAATATTTTGAAAATATTTGCTATATGCTAATACTTCCTGATGTCCACTAATATATTTAGTAGTCTTTTCATAATTAAGAAATGAAAGGCTATTTTAAATTGGCAACACTAAGGCGTCTTACCTGCCAGAGATCCAGCCCAATGACTCCAATGTTGTCGAATTTGTAGATCTCGGCATTAGGAGTGTATTCAGGGTTGTCGATTTCAGGATGCACCCAGACACCCTTGTAGTTGGGGTTGTCAATCTGTTTGGGTTTCCACTCACCCTGCACCAAAACGCAACAATAAATGAATTTCAGAGGCCTGAAACGCGTCTTGTTGAGGCATCTTCAAGCATGTAAATCTGTACCTTGTACTCCGGGTTTGGGATCATGGCAGGTTCCCACTCTCCGTCCATATCCTCATCCCAGTCGTCTGGCTTCTTGGCATCAGGATCGGGAATATTCTCAGGCTTATCCCAGTCCTGACAACATCAGACAGTCAGTGTTAAAAGATGAAACCGAGCCAGCTATGCCTCACAGGTGATAGGAAACAGAATCGAACCTCAGGTTTGGTGTCCGTCTCGTCGTCGATCTTGGCGCGGTCGTCCCAGTCCTCAGGTTTCTTGGCTTCGGGGTCCTTGATCTTCTTTGGGGGCAGGAAGTCCCAGTCCTCCTCCAGAGAGCCGGACTCCACCATCTCATTGTCGATCTTCACCTCATACGTCTGATCCGGATTCAGGATCAATGTGTACAAGTGAGTCAATTCATCATCCTGAGGAGAAAGAGAGAGTTCATTTAGACAGCTTGTCTTAAAATGTACATTTAATTCTATCACATTTGCATTACAGATGCTCTCAACTCATATGGCTAAAATATTTACATTTTTTTTCTGGCTAAAATATATTTTAAATACATGCTGAATATATGTGGTAAACAATGTAACATATTTTTGAAATTTCAAATATATTTACTTTCAAACTTCACATATCAAAATACATTTTTTTTTATATTTCAGAGGCAAGAAAATACATTTCCAATCTTATAATATTAATTACTTAATTTATTTTATTTATGTTCACATATAAAACAACAAAATATTTTTCTTTAAATGTGACATATGTGAACGGATTTTCTTGGACTGAAATATATGGAGGGTACAGGTATATATATATATATATATATATATATATATATATATATATACACACACACACACACACACTGCCAAAAAAATATACCGGTAGAAGATCTTCATAAATATATTTTGAAGCATTATCAGGGATTAAAGTTCTGTCGCTGCCGTTCAAACGAATCAATTGAATGAATGATTCAGTGATAAAATCAGTGACTTGCTGCCACCTGCTGGCGGATTTAGTTTCATTTTTAGCGTATAATTTCAGTTATTTGAATCATATTTCTGTATTCAAGACAAATAAGTTACCAATCATATGAAATTAGTATTAATAAGTTAATTTGTACTACAGAGGTGGCACAGAAGAACACAAAAGTGGCTTGTAGGTACATTTTCAGACGGTTAATGAGGCTCAGAGGTAGCATGAGTGCAATAAAATAAAAAAATGTGGAGATTAATGTTTTAAATATGAAATTGAATACAGAAATATGATTTAAATAACTGAAATTATACACTAAAAATGAAACCAAATCCGCCAGCAGGTGGCGGCAAGTCACTGATTTTTATCACCGAATCATTCATTCAATTGATTCGTTCGAATGGCTGAATAATTCAGGAATGAAGCAAGTAAAATATATTTAAAAATACATTTGAAAATTTATATTTTTTTTGCAACATGGGAATCATCCTAGCATCACTATTTTTTAAGCATTCTCAGTCATTATTCACATCCCAGATATTCTGCTAGTAATGATGAGCAGATGACACAATTTAAATTTTTTTCTAAACTATTTTTTATTTTTTTGTATTCTATAAAGTGCTATTTATATATACAGATTGTTTCAAATTTGAATTCAGTTAAGGTCAATACAAAACAAACCAGGTTTAAAACTAAACTAAAATTAAAACCATTAAAAAAAAAAACGTGTTACTTGAAACAAAATCAATGTTAACTGAAATTTCAGCTAGCTGCCAAGGCACCATTTCACATTTTAATTCAGTTTAACTCGATGTACTAAAATAAGTCAAACTAAAACTGGAAAAATTCATAAAAACTATGCGTGTATATAAAAAAAAAACTTGGAAAATACAAAGATAATATGAAAAATTATAAAACTTAAAAATTTAATTTTTGATGTAAAGTCCACAGAAGTCAGTAATGTCATGATTTAGTTCAGTTCAATAACAGTGTCAAAATCAGAGTCATTATCCAGTCTTTATCCACAAATGTTGTTCTTGTCCGACAGTGTCAGTGCATTAAATCGAAGATATTACTGAATATGAATTGTCTTTTTATTTGACTTTTTAACAGGACCTCACCTTGCATTTGATATCTTTCTTGATGAGGTGGTTCTTGCCTTTGTAGTTGAAGATGACGTGAACCTTCTTGGTGCTGTAGCCACAGATATCAGGCCCTGTTGAGATGATTTAGACGAGAAAACAGAAATAAATGACCCGTTACCTATAATAAATCCAGGCGTTCACAAAAGAGTCTTGGGTGACGTACCGAACATGATGTAATACTGGGAGTCTCCGTGCATGCCAGCCTGGTTGAGATCAGCCGGGAAGACTTTAACGTATCCGCCTCCGCAGTCGATCTTCTGCTCGTGTTTGATGGTGAACTGGATCACCAGAGGCTTGCCCTCGTTGCTGAAGGGCTCGAAGCGGGCAGAGGTGGCGTAGAAACGGGCATCCTGACTGCTCTGCAGACCTGTTGGTGGACAAAGAGATAGCTAAAGTGAAGCAAACTCAGCTTCTTTGCTGAACCGAAGGTGAAGTTTTTAGGGATGCAAACGCCTACCCTGGTCTTTCTCAGCGTCTCCGTAGAAGCTTCCAGCAGTCAGTTTGAACTGGCCATAATCAGACTTGTGCTCGGAGTTCAGCCATCGACTCTTCCAGGCATCTGCGAATAGAAATAGAAGCAAAGAAATAAGGCTAAAACAATAAAAGTGAATGCAACTGTGAATGAGGATGAGTTGAGAACATGAATAGCATCCTAAAAAGGGAAACTGCATGCAAATATACGGACGGTTTCAAAGCAGCTGCACATTAAAAAACAGGACAATAACAGTGTTTATGTTGTAAAATTCAACTATTATGAAACGAATTAAATTTTAGCTGCAAAGCAGCTCTACAGAAAACGGTGTCATGAATTATATTCAATTCAGTTCGACAACAGCGTCAACGTTGCAAAGTTCATCAGTTATGAAACAAACCAGGGTTATTATTACAGTTAACTCAAACCATTTAAAAACATTTTCATTACTTGAAATAAAATAAATGTTAACTGAAATTAAATAAAATATGATTACCTTCCTAAAAAAGGAAATTTCATGCAAATAACATTATTGGCATGATTGTGTTTATATAAAGTATTGCCAAAGCTTTATAACAAAACAAGAAATGACCAGAAAAGAAATATACAATAAAATAACAACAAATTACAATAAAAAAATTGTATTAAAATGAGGTGCTACATAATGAGTAAAAATAATATAAATTACATTTTTATTTTAAAAACACATTTTATATAAAAATACATTATTAAAAAAAACACTATATGAATATTTATGTCATCGTCAACTAACTTACTAACCCAAATTGTACAAAAAAAGCATTTATCTAGCTCTTTATCTACAAACTTGAAGAGGAAACGAGATGAATTTATGAGGGTTGCAGGTCCAGTCTCATTCCACACGTGTTTAATGATTGATATTTAAGGAAGTTTGTGGAATAACTTAAGAAACTTCCTGTTCTTGATAGACACATGCATGGGGTAATGCACATCTTGTGCAATTAACAAACCAATTAGACAAGGCCTGGAATGATGCAGTGGGCACATGAAATTTAAGCAGCATCCTGTGGTGTGGTGTGACATGCCATAAAACAATTTCAACAGGCAACAGGATTTAGTTTGCATCACTGCTGTGAAACATCTACTGCTGTCCAGCTGCCGGGGTCTCAGAGGGCGTGGCTTCTCATTCAACAGAGCATTTTATTGGACAAACATTTGGACACGCCCCTAAGTGCAAGACGAGTCATCAGAACCTCTGATTCATTGTCCCAGAATAGAAATTTTAACTTCTAATTGTTTACTTTGTCAACTTTTAGGAGTACACAAGCATACAGAAGCTAAAATTTAACCTACAATTTTTATTTTATGTTTTCAAAAGTTAATGAATATGCAACATGTACCATAATGCACTTCTTCAGTACTGTAGCATACATTGTGCAATGGAAAGAAGCTCAAATTTAACCTAAAATTTGTATTTTATGTTTTTAAAAGTTAATGAATATGCAACATGTACCATATCGAACTTCTTCAGTACTGTAACATACATTGTGCAATGGAAAGAAAGAAAGAAAGAAAGAAAGAAAGAAAGAAAGAAAGAAAGAAAGAAAGAAAGAAAGAAAGAAAGAAAGAAAGAAAGAAAGAAAGAAAGAAAGAAAGAAAGAAAGAAAGAAAGAAAGAAAGAAAGAAAGAAAGAAAGAAAGAAAGAAAGAAAGAAAGAAAGAAAGAAAGAAAGAAAGAAAGAAAGAAAGAAAGAAAGAAAGAAAGAAAGAAAGAAAGAAAGAAAGAACATTCTGCTAAACACCTCCATTTGTGTTCCACCGAAAAAGAAAATCATGCTTTTGCGCGAGCTGAGGGTTTTCATTTTTCATTTTTGAACTAACCCTATAAAATTAATTATTACTTGTCGGATCATACTTGTGGCAGCTTTAGTCTAATATTCATCTAAAAAAAAATGTATGCAAACAGTCACAATTATTAGCCCATAAAGCAAGCACAGATGCACACTGCAAAAATTATCTAAATAATACTACTAAATAACCATGCAATAAATCCAGTGGATAAAATCAAGTCCCAGGCTACATTTTCTCCCACTGAATATCCTGTTTCACTCTGAAATATTGTAACATTACAAAAATAAAATGGTTTATGAATGCTGTTAAGAGTTGATTGATTCAATTGAGTTTTTAGCGCAGTTCAATTGAGCAATTGTAGATGGCGCTGTGACTCTGTGATCAGGTATTTGAAGCTGCTGCATTCATGATACACATTCATGATGTGCACCAGTAGTATTCCAATTCAGTATTGAATTGCAGCCCATTTTTTCTAGACAGATTAATTTGACATTTTTGCCAAAACTAAATTAAAGGCTATTTTAAAGATATTCATGCAGTTTTTTTCTTGAGACTATATTGCATGTTTAATCCAATAAACATTAAATACAATTGTTTTGCATTTTAAATCCGATTTGAAGTCTGAAGTTAGAAGGAAATTGCTTTTTTTTTTACTTCTGGTTCACATTGGAAATGGAAGGTCAAGTTCACAGTAAATCAATTTTTTCACTCTGTGTTTGTTGTGACTATATTAAAGGGGTCATATGATGTTGGTAAAAAGAACATTATTTAGTGTATTTGGTGTAATGAAATGTGTTTATGCGGTTTAAGGTTCAAAAAACACATTATTTTCCACATACTGTGCATTATTGTTTCTCCTCTATGCCTCGCCTTTCTGAAACGCGTCGATTTATTTTAAAAAAAAATCAGTCTGAAAAAGCGAGGTGTGCTGTGATTGGCCAGCTATCCAGTGCGTTGTGATTGGCCGAATTCCTTAAGCGTGTGACGGAAATGTTACGCCCCTTACCATACTGTGATGCCTGCTGTAACCACATGTGACGACCCTGGGCTGGACTCCGCTTCATCAATGGTGAAAGCCGATCCGGTGATCCACAGCGCGAAGTTGATGTATTCCCTCAGCGACCAGCATGAATCAGCTCTAGGCTCCAGGCATGACGAAGCAGATATCGTCCTCTTTTGGAAGACCAAACAGAGTAGTTTCTCTATCACAACGAAACACACAGCGCCTTCACGACATGGCGGCAGCGGCAACAACAATACTACAGCCAGAATAAAAGTTACGCCTTCTTTCTTTGCGTGAACATTTGGGCGGCGTTATGCAAAACTACCCACATAGTGATGTAGATATGTGGGGGCGTGTTAGAACGAGGCGTTTTTGGTAGGCGTGGCTGACTCTGAAATTTTATAAAGAATATCTCTTTGGATTTGAGACTTTAGTCTTTGCAACATTACAGATCTTCTTTATGCACCAAGAGCTAGTAACACTCCAAAGAGAAAGGAAAAATTGAAATCGCATCATATGACCCCTTTAAATGCTTTGGTAGATGTAGTACAGTAGGTCAGGGTTTTTTTCAATGCATGTACAAATGCATTGCATGCATACACACGCATATACAAAAATAGTGCGAGTAGGATGCCAACATGCGATTCCAAATGTACCGCATGTCCGAACAAGCCACAAAAAAGGGAAATCAATGGTCAAGCATGTTCTCACTCCCCCTCCTGTAGCCTTGCCAAACCGTCTCATTATGGCATGCGAAGAAGACATAGAAAAGCTGTAGAAATCAAACCCGATTAATTCCGCTTGCTTCCCTTATTATTTGCACCATAGAACATGTTCCACTAATCAGAGAGTTAACTACATCCCAAGTTCCAGATCCCTGCACAGCGTGAGGACCGAAAAACCCACACAATCAATTCATTATTATCAGACCCTCACCCGAGCCAGGAAAATAAAGGACAAATTTAGCAGTGAACCACAGTCAGTGTTGCAGTTTTTGCAGTCTGTGGTGAAGGAGATCTGAGTTTAAGAGTTTGTTTTCAGCTCTACCTGAGGAGGACGTATGTTTTTTCACAATAGCCAATGCCAGTATTTAAAGAATAGGGTGGCCTACTGCAAAAAAAAGATTTTCTTACTTAGTATTTTTGTCTTGTTTACCAGTGCAAATATCTAAACATTGTTAAATCAAGATATATTCACTTGAGAAGCAAAATGATTTAAGATTGTCACAATTAAGTGAGTCTATGCTTAAAACAAGAAAAAATAGCTGTCAGTTTAGTAAAGGGAAAACAAGAATACCCTTTGACAGATTTTGTTTGGTTTTAAGCATATTTTGAAAAAATAGAAACAAGTATAATTCAGAGGGAAACAATTTTTTTCTTACCCAATTGACAGATTTTTTTTTGTTTTAATCATAAGCTCAATTAATTTTGAAAAAGTTAAGAAAATGTATCTATCAACCTGTATAATTCAAAGGGAAAAAAGCTTACCACTGATGGATATTTTTTCTTGTTTTAATCATAAAATCACTTTTTTTTAAACAAGTCTAAATATCATTAGGCCATGTTTTCTCAATTAATATATATATATATATATATATATATATATACACACACACACACACACACATATTTTTTTTGTAATGAAAAACAAGACAAAAATACTACATAAAAAAGCAGTGCTTGCTGATAATATTCGAAGACACCAGACTTTTGATTTCTGCTATGTAGATAATAAATGGGTGGAAAAAAGAACACCCTAGCAAACCTCTCGCAAACACTTCAACATCAAGGTGGGAAGTTTTGCATGGATGAGCACCATACATTTTCTTATAAAAGTGTAACTCTAGTTCTCTTTATTTGATCAATTCTATTCATTCTGGAGATGCAGGTCAGATAAATTATTTGAGTTTCATTTTAGTCACCTGTCACTTATTGTTAACTAAAGCTAAATTCCTTTAATTAAACCAGTCAGTGTCCATGTAGAAATTCCTGAACTGACGTCATCTGTCAAAATGAGCACCGGCCAGCCTCTTGACCTCTGACCTCTTCTCTGGCCTTTACTTCAGATTCGTCAGTCGACACTCGTCTCAGGTCATGCAACAGGGCGCCTTGACAGCCAGTTTAAACACGTCACAACATCACAAAAAGATTTGTTTTACAAATAAAACTATCATTGGCATGTAGTCACTACATAATTCCTATACTTCCATTATATTATTCTATCTTGCAAAATAGGACGCTTGAGAGGCAATAGATTATGTAAATGTCTTTGTTCTACATGACATTAATGTATTAAACTCTGTCATTATGTCATTTGATTTAGGAGGGCCGTATGTTAGTGTGTGTGTTTTGTGTCACTGAAGTATGGAAGCCAGCAACAGAACATGGGGCAATTAGGCCGGATCGTAGGGGTGAAGAGCAGCCCCCCTCACTCTGTCCCCTGCGAAGAGCTGATGGATGGCCGGCTCATCATCTTAACAGGCTGGCTTGGTGCCGTTAACCTGCAAGGGCAGGCGAGGACAGGTCACTTCACCCACAGCCTAGTCAGGGCCACTGAACACGCTCACTAATGAGGGGGAAAACTCTTTCAGTCACTAGTTGAGCTCAGTGCCTTAGTTTTACTTTTATGTGTGATATTTAAAGGAACAGTTCATCCAAAAATCTAAATTTGATGAAAATCTGCTTACCCTCGGGCCATCCAAGATGTAGATGAATTTGTTTCTTCATCAGATTTGGAGAAATGTAGCACTGCATCACTTGCTCACCAGTGGATGCTCTGCAGTGAATGGGTGCCGTCAGAATGAGAGTCCAAACAGCTGATTAAAACATCACAATAATCCACACCACTCCAGTCCATTAGTTAATGTCTTGAGAAGCCAAAAGCTGCATGTTTGTAAAAAACAAATCCATCACTTCCGCGTCATTTCCAGATAAAATATGAATACATAATCCATAATGATGCTGCTTCCTCCATTGAAAAAGTCCAACTCCTGTTGTCTCCCACATCAAAATCCACCCACATATTTGTTTAGAGCTGTTTTGGACTGTTTTGGGTTATAAACGGTATTTGATGTGTGCAGATTTCTCTTCTGATTCAGATTAAATGACTTTTTCACAGGAGAAAACAATATTATGGATAGCAGACTTGTATTTTAGCCAAATTAACAGTTTGAAGTGAATGAATTTGTGGATTACTTGTGGATTATTATGATGTTTTTATCAGCTGTTTGGACTCTCATTCTGACGGCACCCATTCACTGCAGAGCATCCATTGCTGAGCAAGTGATGCAGTGCTACATTTCTCCAAAACTGATGATGAAACAAACTCATCCTAATCTAGGATGGCCTGAGGATGAGCACATTTTCAGCAAACTTTCATTTTTGGGTGAACTGTTCCTTTAAGACCACAGACAACAACTACGCTGTAAATGATTGATTAAAAAAGCTCAAATAATAAATCAGATGTCCTCAAACACTACTCAAATGATGTCAGGCATATAGTTTATCATTTGGGCATTGCATTATATATTTTTTATTTTGACAGTGTTGCATAGGATTGATTTAAAAAATGTCATAAATGATTGATATTTCCTTTTCTTTTAGTTCCAGTTTATTGCACTTGAGCATGTGATTTGCAATATTATATGAGCAATGAGACAATATTTTTTTTCAATATTTGGTTTATCATTTGAATTTTGTTTGAACAAAACCAGTTAATTTACACATGAGCACATACTAGTAGTAATTTTTTAAGTTAACTAACAAAACATTTTCACAGTTTAGTATGTATAGATTTAATCTTGATTTTAATGACAAGTTTTGAATGAGCTTCCTGTTAGTATCATAACTTTATATTTATTATAAAAGCTAACCAAATGTGACCCTGCAGCACAAAAGCAGTCTTATGGGGTATATTTGTAGCAATAGCCAAAAATGCATTGTATGGGTCAAAATTATAGATTTTTCTTTTATGCCAAAAATCATTAGGATATTAAGTAAAAATCATGTTCCATGAAGATATTTTGTCAATTTCCTACCATAAATATATCAAAACTTAATTTCTTATTAGTAATATGCATTGCTAAGAACTTCATTTGGACAACTTTAAAGATGATTTTCTCAATATTTCAATATTGCACCCTCAGATTCCAGATTTTCACATAGTTGTATCTCAGCCAAATATTGTCTTGACACTTAAGACTGGTTTTGTGGTCCAGGGTCAAAACTCATGCATTTTTATCATTCATCTTTATTCCAATTGTTAGTGCAAATAATTCAACAAATTTGTCTCAAAAAATCTAAAGACATATTCAATAATATTCAAATTTCCCGTCCCCAAAAACTTCATATAACAAACATAATGTCAGTTTATATGCACGTCATACGATGATAAAGCTGCAACGTTTGTGACAGAATCCACTCCTATGACGTCTAAGTGTACACATCTTTAAAGAAAATTCTATCTTCTTTGGCTTCATCGCAGTTCACAGAAATCCATAAACCGTGCTTTAATAAGAACTCTTTTATTAATAATACTCTTGAATACACGCCTACTAAATAAACAATATGTCAAACCTACTGTAGAATGAATTATATTTGTTTTTGCATCCAAGATTATGTTTTGTACCATTTGCATCATCACAGTGCATAAAAATGTGTATAATGGATCATGATATGTATGTTTAATATTTGCATATAGTTAATGTCCACAAAGTATTCAAATTATCATGATACCATCGGTTAGAATTGAAAAGGAATATGATAAGACATCGCTTGTTTCGAAGGACAGTGTTTGCACGTTTAAATGACTGACATCTGGCTGGGACGCCCATTAGTTCAGAGCAGAGGGGCAATCTATAATCTCAAACAATGAAGAGTCCCGGCGGGGAGCCACTCATTCCGCGTCCTCACACACACACACACACACACACCTGCTACGAAAGCGACACAATCCACTAATGACCTCACAAAGTTTCACAAAGTCTGACTGAGAAATCACTGCTTAGACAGTATGTCAAACTGTACAAGTATTTTTGCCCTTCAGTCACACTTATAAATGTGTGAATATCATTCAATATTTCAGTCATTTTTGCTCATAATCAACTTGGGTTTTGGTGCTTTTAGTCATCATTTTCATTAGATGTATTGTTTTATCACTTGTTTTTGTCAAACATAAATGTCAATTGCTTTGATATTTTCTAATCTAATGCAATGACATTCATTTTTAGTGTGACCTCTGTCTTCCGCTAAGCAGTTGTGGACAGTTGTCATACATTCCCTGTCATTCTTTTTACTTTCTGTTCTTACCTTGTTTTCTGGATGTAATCTCTTAACACTGCTTAAAGTGGACAGTGCCAATAACAACAAAGGGATGAGTCTGAAAAATCCATTTTTGGGATGAGTCTGAAAATTGTGAAGTGCCCAGGTGCTATTTCAACCCAAAATCAAAAGAAAATGACAAAAAAAAAAGAATTATGTTTTTTTATATATATATTTAGGTAACACTTTACAATAAGGTTTCATTTGTTAATATTAATTAACTATATTAGTTAACATGAACAATATTTATATAGCATTTATTAATCTTAGTTAATATTAAGTTCAAAACTTACTAATGCATTATTACAATTTTAAGTTGTATCTGTTAACATTAGTTAATGTACTGTGAACCAACATGAGCATGAACATTTTTATTAACTAACATTAACAAAGGTTATGAAATGCTGTAAAAAAAATATATGTTGTTCATTGTTAGTTCATGTTAGTTAATGCATTAACTAATGTTAACAAATGAGACCTTATTGTAAAGTGTTACCTATATTTAACATAAATATTATTTAATATTAATAATACTCTTAATATTTAATAGCATGTAATGCTATTTTTAAGGTACTGTGAAAAATGTATGTATTATTTAAATATATTTTATTTAATTTTAATAATACTCTTAATATTTAATAGCATTTAATATTAATTAAAATTGTAGTAGTTATATTGAATTAAATTTAAGCTTATTTAATATGATTAGAAGGCAGTTTTTTAAGGTAATGTGTAAAAAAGTCTGTATTATTTAAATATATTTTTTATTTAATATTAATAATACTCTTAATGTTTAATAACATTTAATATTATGTACACTTGTAGTATTTTATATATACATTAATATACTATATATATATATATATATATATATATATATATATATGCATTAATATACATCAGAAAAAAATCTCAGATGGACTTTTTGCATCTGAAGTCTTCTATGGGATGTTACAGCATTACAGTAATGAGAATTTAAAAATACATAATAATTTGAATTTTCTCAATTTTCTTTGTGCAAAATATAATTTCTTATACTGTTCTCTTGTTTTTGGGGTGAAATATAACTGACTTTCTTATATTGCTTGAAACAGACCCCACAGACACTGAAACGTTAAACCTCAGACTCGTTTTAAATGATGATATGAACACATCGAACAGCAGGAACAGAATTGTGGCACGGTTGAAATATGTGCTAGTGATTTAGAAACAACTTCACTCTATGGCTTGATAATGCAGCTACTCATGTAAAATAACAATTCAATAAAACACATTCTGTTTCTAGATTTCAGTTTATTTAACCATAGAGGGTCATTCCTTTTAAATCAAAGTCAAGTGATTTCTTCTAATCGTTCCTAATGTCTAGATGGTAGAACATGAAATTAACCTCTGAACAGGCATTGAGGTATCAGTTGTCCTGAGCTGCGCTGTCCTGTTAAATTGCCAACATGCCAAACTTGCTATTGCGAGTCTTCAACCAGGAGGAGCAGAGAAGCTTGGTACCGACTGAAATCCAAAATCCTAGGGAGCTCAACATTTGCTGGGTAAGAAGTAAGAAACACCTTACTGTAGATGCCATGATCACAAACGGTCAGTGCTTTGTTGCATGGTTGCCAGGTCTGTGCAAAAAAAACCCAACCCGATTGCTATTCAAAACTAGCCCAAAACTAGCTGATTCGTGTTTTTTCCCATGATTTTCCCCTCTGTCGGGGGTCAAAATCACCTTTTGGGGGTGAGAGATAGCTTTAACCCGCAGCAAGAAGAAGTAGCCCATATCCGTGGTAAAACTGCAAACTTGGCAACCCTGTTTGTTGCCAAAACAAAACCAATTCCTCAAGCAGGTTTGACCATCCAAGTAAATCCAAGCATGTTGTGTTGAGAAGATATCCTCAAAGGTCCATCAAATCAAACTATGTTTCGTTTTATTGGCCAGAGGCTTTAAAATGCGTACAAGCTTTCAGTGCTTCATGTTTCCAGGTCTCGCCTGTGGCATTCAGGTGAACCCTAATCCTAATGATCCGGTGCTGGTCCTTTCTAAAAATGCATCCATGTGTCTATGAGATCCCAATAAAATATACCGCTCCCCATTTTCCTGTTACATGGGTTGCCAGGTTTTGTCCATGGACTGAATGTGCTCCTTGGCCTTCATCCTCAAAGCTACAATACTAGAGCTGCGGTCCACGTCTTCCAGAGGGTATTTTTCATTAAATGCAGGGGGACACTGGTAAGGAGGTGGTGGCATGGGTTGCATTCCCTGCACCATGCCTGGAGAAGAGTTCAGAAAGCCGGGATGGCCCGTATAGGTGGGCTGGAGGCTTTGGCCTGGTCCCATGAAGCCCGGGATGCTGTGCATAGGAGGGGCACTGGAGAGCGGCGAAGGCAACCAGGGGTCCAGAGGCAGAGAATTAGTCATTGGCCCCATGTTGGGCACCATGGCCGGTCGGCTGAAGGACAGCATGGGCGAGTCATGGAGCTTCATGCTGCCCGTGTCCATTTTTTCTTGCCGCCGCCATTTTGCACGCCGATTCTGGAACCACACCTGCATGACGGGAAAAGGTTGAGAACCATTTAGACTCAACCTCATAATGTCAAGTGGCACAGAAATTCATTCGACTCGCCTGTTGTCAATGAGGTGAGTGTGCTGGAGAGTTATGAATGAGTGAACTTAACAGTTTAACAGATGGAGCTTTATCAGTTTAACAAAGCTCTGTCTCTTGTATCGAACCAGATTCTCTTCAATCAATACTCCCTTGTTAAACAGCATCACCTTGTAATGCCCTACCAACATAAGTCCATTAAATAACCCCAATGTCAAGGTTGTAATAAATAAAATGACATTGATCACAACGTCTATCTAATACCATCAAGTCTCCCGGCTTGTATCACGCAAAACTTACCTGAACACGAACTTCTGGGAGGTTGACTTTCATAGCCAGCTCTTCTCGACTGTATACATCCGGGTAGTGGGACTTCTCAAAGGCGCGTTCCAGCTCGTGTAACTGATAGGTGGTGAAGGTGGTTCTGTTGCGTCTGTGTTTCTTTTTAGGTTGATCCTCATCAGGAGGGTCCGGGGAGCGGCTGTCGCTCTCCACATTGCTCTGTGGATCTCCCAAATCTGCGTCACACTTCTCCGTGGAGAAAAGTCCAGTATCTACATCACAGGATAAACGGAGTGCTCTTTATTTGCCAGGCACTCTTGTAAAGTTCATTAAAGAATTAATGGGTTGCTAATGGGGTTTAACCTGTTTTTATGTAGTTGATAGGGTGTTCTGGGTGGTTGCTAGGGCGTTGCTAAGAAATTGCTTGAGTTTTTTTTGGGGGGGTGGTTGCTATTAGATGTGGGTGATATATGACCAAAATCGTATTTCACATTATGAGAATTTTTTTTCATGATATTGATATATCTCGATATAGCTATTCTTATTTTATTTTTATTTTTTTATTAAAAATAAGAACAAAGAAGCAAATTACAAACACAATAGAACAAAAATATAAATTAAATAACTTAAGTTTTTCAGCTACAGTTGGTTTATTTAACGTACTGTATTAAGAAATACAACAGAAATTGAATAATGAAGTGTAACTAAAATACTGCATAGTCTTCACTCACTGTATGAATCACATATGAATTGATTCTTATTAAAGATCCAAAAGTGATTCAATCAAGAGCAGTGAGTGATTTTCTCTTTGTCTTTTGTTTTTTTGTTAACATTAATGACAGACAGAAGCATGTAAATAAGACTGCTGTCACTTTAAGACCGACTGCATGGATCCAATATACTGAAACATATCTGGTTTTCGCCCAATTTACATTTATTTAACACATAACCGACTGTGTTTACTTGAATACTCCACACAACGGGCATTTAGACATAATTGTGCATGTATTTGACCATTCAATGTGAAAGAGATCTGAAATTCGCGATTGCACGGTATTCTGTGCGCACGATTCGGGTCTCAGTCAGCGCCAGCTCTGTTTAATATTTAACATCTAGCACGTCCCACTCTTTATTTTCTCATCCATGCATGTCTCTTTATCACTCTTAGCTGCATATAACTTTTAAATAGCCTCGTGTTTTTGTAGGAGCGTTCTGAGCACCTGAAGTTGAAAAAAAAAATCAACTCTGACCTGAAAAATGTTTTTTGTCTGATCGGGGCCTAAGGTAGGGTGACCATACGTGCCATTTTCCCAGGACGCGTCCTGGCCAGGATTTCTATATTTCCTAAAATATCTAGGTTTTGGCTTTGTTTGCGTGTGCAGACCAATCGGTGTATGACATCAAAATACCATACAGTTTCTTGTGCTTTCAAAATGCTCTCGAGGTATTTTGATGTCATACACCGATTGGTCTGCACACGCAAACAAAGCCAAAACCTAGATATTTTAGGAAATATAGAAATCCTGGCCAGGACTCGTCCTGGGAAAATGGCATGTATGGTCACCCTACCTTAGGCCCCGATTAGACAAAAAACATTTTTCAGGTCAGAGTTGATTTTTTTTTTCAACTTCAGGTGCTCAGAACGCTCCTACAAAAACACGAGGCTATTTAAAAGTTATATGCAGCTAAGAGTGATAAAGAGACATGCATGGATGAGAAAATAAAGAGTGGGACGTGCTAGATGTTAAATATTAAACAGAGCTGGCGCTGACTGAGACCCGAATCGTGCGCACAGAATACCGTGCAATCGCGAATTTCAGATCTCTTTCACATTGAATGGTCAAATACATGCACAATTATGTCTAAATGCCCGTTGTGTGGAGTATTTTGATGTCATACACCGATCGGTCTGCACACGCAAACAAAGCCAAAACCTAGATATTTTAGGCAATATAGAAATCCTGGCCAGGACGCGTCCTGGGAAAATGGCACTTATGGTCACCCTAGCCTAAGGCATTGCTAAGAAGTTTCTTTGATTTTTCTGGTTTCTAGGTTATTGCTGGGATACAGTTACCAGGGTGCCCTGTGTGGTTGCTAGGGCATTGCTGAGAAGTTGCTAGGGTGTTTTGAGAGTTTGTTAGGGCATTGCTAAGACGTTTCTGGGGTTTTCTGGGTGGTTACTATAGCATTGCTAAGTGTTTTGGGTGGTTGCTAGGGCATTGCTAGTCTCTAGAATGTTCTGAGTGGTTGCCATGGTGTTGCTAGGGTGTTCTTTGTGGTTGTTAGGGCATTGCTAGGTGGTCATTAGAGCATGCTGGGTGGTTTCTAGGGCATTGTTCTATGTGGTCGCTAGTAGGGTTTGATATGACTCGAGTCCTTCCTTCAATATAAAAGTCTGTGTGAAGTCTGTGTAAGTCTGTTTTATCTTTTATTAACCATTCCAAAATGGTGCATCTGATCACTTATAAAGTAACAGTACATTTCTCCTCAACAAGACACATGATTTGAGGAATCATTCACGTCTCAAGCACAAACGGTACAGGATAAGGTACATTTTAAAGTTTAAATGTGGAGCCTTAAAGGTATAGTTTACCCAAAAATGAAAATTCTGTCATCATTTATTTATCTGTTCTGTTGAACACAAAAGAAGATATTTTGATAAATGTTGAGAACATTTTTTTTGATGGTAGCCATTGACTTCCATAGTACGGCAAAAACACTGTCAATTGTTTGGTTACCAACATTCTTCAAAATATCTTCTATTCTGCTCAACAGAAGAAAGAAACTCACACAGGTTTGGAACAAATTGAGGTTAGTAAATGATGACAGCATTTAAATTTTTGGATGATCCCGTTACAAGCACCATTAATAAGACTACTTATATGTTATTGTGCCTTTACCAAATGGTACAGTGATGGAGTCAGATGTTAACCTTTCGATTTTATGAATTCCTAGAAAATAAGAGATTTGGGAGTTCCATCACTTCTGCCATGGTATGTAAGTCCTCCCAGTAATCCAAGCACACAGATGTCACCGGTTAAACCTGTAGACCTCATGTGGCCAAGTCAAGACTGCTAATCCAGCCGTTAAGAGGTTCACTCAGTACCGCAGCGGTTCAATCAAGAGTGGCCGACCAGCCTGACAACAGCAGAGATTTTCATTTCGCAGAAAACAGCTAAGAGCAAACCGCGCCACATGTTGAGGTGGGGCAGATCCTGGTTGAATCTAATTAAGTTAGGCAGGATTAGAATCAGTTTACTAGTTTAATGTTAGCAAGTGTTAAACGTCTGCACACAACTTTCAAACACAAACTAGATACACCTGCATCGACACTAATGTCTACAGGTTTAATTGAGTCACTTTGTAAGCTTATATATATATAAACTGGAAAATACAACACACCTTCTTGACGAGGCATTGAACCAACAACTGTATGGGTGCACAAGGTTTAACAAAATTCATAAAATGCCACTATATTCTATAGATAACACTAATAAATTGTCATTGTGATCACTATTTACAGTGATTATTATTAGTAAAGTAAAAATAAATAAATCTATCTATCTATCTAGCTATCATCTATCTATATTAATTTAAGAATGTTTATATATTTGCAATGGAAAACAAGTCAAAAGTACTGAATAAGAAAATCATTTATTCAGTGTATTTACAGTGATTGCTATTTATCTATGCAAATTTATTTAGGTAAAATATTGTTATTTTTTATTAACCCAATTTCTAATAAACATGCATTTGACATTAATTCAAGTGGCCAGAAAATAGTCTCTTATACCTTCAAAAACACTGACTAGTGGTGTTTTCCAAGTCCTGCATCGCTATTTTACTATAGCTTGTTCTTAGGATTAGAAAAGCATTACATTTTGGTGTATACTACATCTCTTACAGTATGAGTGATTCTTCAAATCAAGTTAAATCAAAGTCAAAGTCAAGTTAAATTAAGTCATCAGACTTAAACAGGTGGAAAAACCCACAGTCTTACATTGAAGGTGATTCAGGAGCCAAATCTAGAAACCAGAAGATCATGCAAGACAGTAGGGACCTCTATAACGCTGTGGCATTGGGTTTTGCACAGGAAAATACATCATTCATTAATGTATACAATGTATTTTGCATTGTAAAGCACTTTTTGTATTGAGCCACTCAGATATTTTTGTGCAAGTACTGTGTTTTTATGTGTGATGTTCTTTTCACTTTCCAGAAAGTGAGATGAGATTTAGTAAACCGGTCGATTCTCACCATGATACGCTGACTGCTGTGAATTATTCGGAAGACTTTGCAGGTGACCGTAGGGGTCAGAGGTCACTTGTTTCTCCTCTTCTCCGTCCACTTTGTGTGTGCCGACAGGCCCGACTGGGTTGAGCAGAGGATCCTGGTCCTTACTGAAGCCCAGAATCACGTCGATGCTGTGGACGCGGCCTCCCATCCCCGACGTGCCACATTTCCCCAGGTCGTGGTAGTTGTCCGTTGAGAGGCAGCCATCATCCACCATGTTCATCATATCCGGTGACAAATGCATCCAATCTGCCCTTACGGTAAGTCTCCTCGGGGAAATGTGTGCAAGTTATGTCCAAAAGAGAATCTGGTTCCAATTTGTGGCCGAGATTCCCTTTCAAAGATCTGTACAAGAAGACCAGGGGTTAATAAGACTTTAAAGTAAGACATCCAAAAAAGGGGTTAATATTTTTAACAGTATTTGACAAAATCAGATAAAGCACATTTTTAGTTACAGCCGAAAGTTTGGTTTTCTAGGTATGTGATATTGGTCATACTTTATTTCAGTTGTAAAATTGTTGAATAAAGAATGGTTCTGTGTTTCATAATCTAAAAAGTATGATATATTTGCAATATTTATAAGCAGTGCTGACAGAATCTATTAATCGTTTGTATGTTTGTTATGGTTTATTTTGCTTCAATGTTTTGGAAATGCAATAAAAAAGAAAAAAATCATAATATCATATCATATAATATCATATATCATAAACCCATATAACATACAAAAATGAGATCTCTTTCATATCTCATCAAATGTTTTGAGCTGCTCTCCGCATTCATTTTATTGCTATATATTTTTACTTTCCATGAAGTCTCCATTAAGAGCAGTGCTGACAGTATCTGTGGCTTTTTATGTATTTTTTGATATTGGAAATGTTCAGATTAATTAAAAAATGATCATTTAAAAATTTTTTTACAAAAATATTCTTTTAATAATGATGTAAAAATACTAAACCCGTAGGAAAGAAAAATCACAAATGATTTTTGTATTTTCTGCAAATTATAAAAATAATGCATACAGTTATCCAAGTACTAATATTATGCTCAAACCAGTTATATATCCCTACAACATTTAGTATGATGATCGTTTTCTCCAAAAAACATTTGTCACATTAAACTAAAGTTAAACTCAAGTTAAAGCAGCTGCTCTGACCCTTCATGGTTTACATGCTTCAACAGTTTCACTAAAAGACAACTGACACAGAGTGCAGATGCTTTATTCTTCTGCATTGATTGAAACGGAATGATAGATAGAGTACATGTAATGTAACAGAAACTCGTTATGCATGAGATCAGTTGTCTTTGCTTGTTCTTAAGTGTCATTTTCATCTATTTTGACTGTCTAAAGCATCTTAACACAGCAACTTTACTGACAGTCAATCCTTATTTCAGGCCTGTGTTGGCACAGCAATCTGGCTCATTTTTCCTTAAAGTTTTACAAATTGAATTTATGATTCGACTCAGTTAGTTGAAAATCACACTTTAAACTATAGGTTGTTTAATTTTACTTTTGTTTCAGTGTAAATGTTCAGTCACCAGTTAAAAGTTAAGTAACTCTGTGCCATCAACCAAAAGCATGTATCATGTTAAAATCTATATGCTTTATAAATACAAAAACAGATTAAAGTCTGTTTGTTTAGTTTCTGTGAAGTAGTGATGTTACTTTTATTTTCTCATTAAATATAATTTAAAATCTGTACTTAAATTAGGCTTAAATAGAAGACTAAACCTTTAAAAATGTTCAATCATTTGTATTTTATCATTTAAAAATAATAATATAACATATAATATTCATATATCAAGTTTTCAAAGTCTTGCATGGTGAATTTTGCTTATTTATCATATTTCATAGATGTTTCTCCTGAGCCAAAACAATCTCAGATCACTAGATCTGTTCACTAGATTGACAAATCAGACCTCAACAATGTCTCAAGATGCTCAGATTTGAAATCTAGCTCTAGTTTACAAATTAAAAGTCATTTAATCAAATAGAAGACAAAACTTTGCACACTTTTTTTCATCAGAATCATACAGACATGTATAGGCACATTCATAACGTTTTAGAATTTTGTAGAATTTTTGATTATTATTTTTTTAAGTTTGTGGGCAGTTATGCTATATGTAATATTTTACTTTACTTGGGTTGTATGCTTGTTGCATGTGCATATAGACTTTCAACCAATAGATAATTAACTCAATCAACCTGTTGCATTTTAAAATGTATATGCTTTAAATACACAAATAGAAGTAAATAATAAGTCTTATTTGTCTAGTTTCACCTATTTTTAAGGTACTTTAAATGCAAATTAATTCTAAGTGAATCTGGAATCTTTAAACCAGAAAAACTAAACTTCACGCACCTTTTTCCTTCAACTTTCCGGCTCATCAGAAGCACACAGGGTTGTCGTCACTTCCAAGCATCGCCGCAAATGACACACCGCAACTTTTTACCCACAGTGCACCTGCTTCAGACTGTAAAACGAGCGTTAACTAAGATTTTGTGGAGCCCAGAAGTGAGCGGAAATTCTGAAGCACTCAGATGCGTCCCATTCCTGCAGCATATGGAGGTCTTGATCTTTAGGATGAAGCCATGAAAACTGGCCTGACGCGCTGAGAGCCGGTGGCGAGAGGAAAAGACTTAAGAGGTTTAATAATGGGAATCCTTCCCCTTTAAGGATGATTGACAGTTGTTCTCTGCCGGGGTAATTGCACTAAACGCTGGCCGTGGTTTGGCCACAGAGGGAGGCCTGCGCTAATGAAGCACCGACAGAATGTCCTTTCAACACTCCTTTGTCTAAATGATAATGGTGACCTACTGAAAGTGTCCTTAAATCCGCAACTTCACAAAGACAACACACCGTGTGTTAAGATGTGTTTTTCCTGTGCAGCCAAATGCCTTCAGTGCTTCACAAAGATGATCAGCATAAACAGGCGTGCAGAGAGATAAAGTGTTGCATTGCTGTTAACAGTGAAAGGTGTCAGTGTTGTTTTAAAGGAGTTTTATTATAAATCAATAAGCTCCAAGAAGCCATGGTTTACAGTGTATTTATAACAGCTAAGGGGCGTTGTTAGCTTAAAACCCCCGTAGCTGTTATAAATTCACTGTAAACCACAGCTTCACGAGGCGTATTGCATATTATTGTTATTCCATATATGTAGTAAGGTTTCACAAAATAAAACAGAGCAAATAAAGTGTAATGATATTAATAAAAACATTATTGTTCCACCAAACAATGTAGTTCCTCAGAAACAGTTGTGGTTGCTACAAAGTGGCTGCCGAGTAACACACAGAAGTAAGCAAAGGTGTGTGTTTGTAGAGTAATTTACAACAGCTTCGAACGTGGCTCAGCCAATCAGAATCAAGGACCGGAACTCTCCGTTTTATAATTGATCATTTGTTTGGCATGTGCATAACTTAATGGCCCGCTACATGCCTTTATCATCTGATTCAATGTGGCAACCAAACTTTTTAAAATATTACATTTTAAAATCTATTTTTTTATTGTAATTTATTAATGTTTCATATTTTTGTGAAAACTGTTATAGTTTTATTTATATTTTGAATCAGCTTTTATTTTTATTTTTTATTATTATAAAGAAAGACATTTATTTGCTCAGCACATTGAATTATATGAGGCCATGTACAAACTGGACATTACTTACACTCCATTCAGCATTTCCAATTTCTATTGACTTTCTATTAATTTACAAAGCTTTAAATATGAAAAGATTCATCACTGATGAATTCACTGTTGGTGTTTATTAACTGACTGTATAATAGATTGGCTTTACCTGTTCATAATTACTCTAAATTGACCCCATGCAGCTCATTAGACTCAGAACCGACCTCATCAAACGATGCCACACTTGAGCTCAAACTGGCAACAAACTGCTCAGACTCTTTATTAATGGTTTAAACATGTCTTCCTCGTGTTATCGGCGACTCGCGTCGGTTCAGTCCTGGAAAGTCTCAGCCTGTGATGGTTTCTTTAAAGCCAGTTGTCCAGGTTAATACTCCTGAGACTGACTGACACGGAGATCAACCCTCGTATTAATGAGACTACAGAATCTTCTAGATTTTCCCAGCCTTAATGAAATCTAAAGCTAAGTTTAAGAAGCCTTGGATTACCAATTAGGATCTCTAGAATGAAGCAAGGGATACGATTGTCCCTTGATTTATTAACACCTTCCCTTCGTTAATTAATCATTTGTAATATTTTCAGCAGGTCGGGACTCTTCAAAGACACCACTGACTGTATTTATTTTGACTCATTGTGATGTTTATATGATTATGTGTGATTTATGTATATGATTTTATTACAGATATAGCTGGCAGCATCAGGGACATGAACCAAATAAAACCACACTGATGTACTTTAAGGTAAGAGTAAGATTTTCAGCAAATTTTATATATATATATATATATATATATATATATGTGTGATTTTTTTATTGTACATTTTAATTTTAGTTTTACTTATAGTAATTTTGTTGTGTGTTTTTGTTGTCATTCCATAGTTTTTATAAATTTTTAAGTTTGAGTTATTTTAGTACATCAAGTTTCATGATTTGCTTTGACTTTTTACAGTTTAAATTATGCTGAAATTATTAGAATGTTTAAATGGCAGGTTCTATTGTGACAACTTGCCCCACCATTGTGCACTTTTTCTTTTTTTTTTGTAAACAAGATAAGGTGTGTATAATATTTTCAGCAGGTCGGGACTCTTCAAAGACACCACTGACTGTATTTATTTTGACTCATTGTGATGTTTATATGATTATGTGTGATTTATGTATATGATTTTATTACAGATATAGCTGGCAGCATCAGGGACATGAACCAAATAAAACCACACTGATGTACTTTAAGGTAAGAGTAAGATTTTCAGCAAATTTTATATATATATATATATATATATATATATATGTGTGATTTTTTTATTGTACATTTTAATTTTAGTTTTACTTATAGTAATTTTGTTGTGTGTTTTTGTTGTCATTCCATAGTTTTTATAAATTTTTAAGTTTGAGTTATTTTAGTACATCAAGTTTCATGATTTGCTTTGACTTTTTACAGTTTAAATTATGCTGAAATTATTAGAATGTTTAAATGGCAGGTTCTATTGTGACAACTTGCCCCACCATTGTGCACTTTTTCTTTTTTTTTTGTAAACAAGATAAGGTGTGTATCTGTACAGAAATTGACATTTAAAATGAAACCCACTTGAGTTTTTTTAAGTGCATTGCAAATACATATAGTTTGTGATTGCACAGGTTTTGTTGCATGTGTTCAGGATGGTCAGGGCTAACGCACATTGACAGCAGCCATGTTTACTGGACCCGGAGCCTGCTGTCAGTTTGACCTCAGCTTAAAACACAGCAGGCAAAAGACAAGAGCGATTTATTTCCATTCCAGTGCTCGAGTCTAAACACAAAACAGTCTGACTTCAGGTGATTGCGTCCGTGAGTGTGATGTGATTCGAGGGCCAAATCATTTTCTAGACGAGCCAATTACAGACTTTACACTGATAAACTCTGGGATTTCCTAACAAACCCCAAGGAGTCTCTTGGAGTGGGATTTTTCTGACAAAAGAGGCTTTTAGGCCATCTGGGCATCAGTGAAAGGCTTTTAATGCCAAACCAGAGCAAGAAGTCAGAGCAGTTTTTCTAATAACTAATTGAGTTATTCATTATTGTTTTGAGTTGTGTATATTTCTGAGCATTTCGGGTTGCTCTGATGTTACAGAGTAATATATGTTACTCTTTAGCTGAATCTGAGAAAATTACGCTAAAAAAGGGGTGTAGAAACCATTTTCACTCAGAAATTGCTAGTAAATTACACAATTAATTAAAGAAATGGCAAGTAACACATTGAATTAAACGTGACAGTTTTAAGTTGAAAGACTGAAGTAGTATTTTCTTGTAAAAAATTACTTCACAAATTTTTTTATATTTAAAAATTCAAAAATGTTTACAGTGTAGGCGCAAAAAGAATAGCCTATTTGTCAAAACATAAGTGGGATACGTAATTGGATTTTTAAATTGTTCATCTAATCATTGCAATATTAATATTGTAATACAGAAATAATCAATTGAATTGCATTTATTTCTTATTTTGCATTACACTAAAAAAATTATGTAGAAACAATTTTCACTCAGAAATTGCTAGTAAATGGCACAATTAATTACAAAGAAATGTCAAGTAAAATGTTGAATTTAAACGTGAAATTTATGAAGTAGAAAGACTGGAATTGTATTTTCTTGTATAACATACATCAGTAATCTTTGTTTAACTTTGAAAAGTTCTTGCATGCTTTTTTTCGTAGTCACTTCTTTTGCTTTCTTACAAAATCTAGTCAACAAAGGCAATTCTAAATTTGTTGTTGTTTTTTGTTTTTACATTTAGTTTAGGTTTTGCATGTTGATTTACTGTAATAGCCTACATTTGTAACTACAGTACATGTATATCTAGGCTTCTCACAAATCAATGAACTGACCTGTGTTAATGAAAAACTGCCGTGCATACAGGCGACTGGACGTGACGCACAAGACTGGCCTGTTAAATTTACCCTGTAGATAATCCAATCACACCCACAAACCCTAAATTAAATGCTGGTTTCTTCTGAACCCATGACCGCTTGAAAGCATAATTGTAAGCTTACTGTTTGAGCTACAAGATACCTGCACGAACTAGACACAAAATAAACATGATATGTTTATTTCATTATATGTAAAAAATAAAAATAACCAGAAGTTACCAGAATTGTGTTTGTATAAAATCCATCAAAGACACAATAATTCTGTTCTTTATTAAATACAGAGATGCTATACAATGAGGATCAAGGACGATTGCTGGAGGCTAAGCAAAGTTTTGCATTTTGTATTGCATTTTTGTAAATGGTGGAATTGAAACACAATCCGTTTATTTTCAGTCAGGATTCTGTGCATTTTATTGGTGCACATTTGCACTCAATCTGTTGCTGTCAATTAAATACAAAGCCTATTATTGAAATAGAGTATATGATCTCTAGTATTATAACTTTCTTAGATTGAAGCTCAGTTGATATCTTTGCATGTGACTCTTTTTTAATTCATTAATTTTTATGTCACTGAGAAAGAGTAAAAGTGAATGCATCTTATATGCATTTCATCCAATATTGTTTTATATATTTTAATAGTATATATATAATATATATTTTTATTATAAGTATAATAAGTATAACCTTATGGATAGTACACTATATGCTATCTTCTCCAATATTTAATTATTCGTGAACATTAACGTCAAAAATCACTGTGACAAACATGATCGATAGTTGGCTTCGCTAACTGAGTGAAGAGGCTAATAATCATGTTATCACGTTAAAATATTAAGGCTGCCCTTCTTTGCTTGTTTCCTCATTATCCTAATTGAGAGCAAATTAGCTAAGAGGTGCAGTGTAGTTATCAAGCTCCTTAGTTTTAGCAGAAGACAATTTAAGCCTCGCAGATCCTATTAGTAACAAAGCAGATAAGGAGGAGCTGTGTCAGCTTACCACGCTATAGAGAGAGAGAGAGAGAGAGAATGATAGATAGAACGATAGATAGATAGAACGATAGATAGATAGATAGATAGATAGATAGAAC